GGGCAAGAAAGACCCGTTCTGATCTCTATACAAAGTAACTCCGTTCGTCGCGGAGGTCTCAAGTAAAAAAAAGGGGCCTTTATTTGGCGGCTTCTAACGGTCCACACACCACCTTCTTCTATTTCCAGCGGTGCCGGTCGGTAATAGCCGGTGCTCGTTTTATCTCTCCGTCGTCTGTCTGCCAGTACCGAAGGAACGGGCATTAGGAGCTGTTCTGGGGGGGGGGGGGTTGGGGGTGGAGGGGAGGGGGGAGGGGAGGACCTAAAGACCTCCTCAGCTACGCGTCGAGGGGTGGAGATGGCGACGGGTGTTCTTCTGTCTCTCTTCCTCTCTGGTGATGGTGATGGTGATGGTGATGGTGATAGAGCCGCAAGCCCTCCCTTTCTCGACGCGAGAGTCGACAGAGGAGTCTCGCCCGCGCACCGCAACCTACCGTACTTACTCTCCGTATTGTGGCAGGCAAGAGAAATCGGGGTTGACCGCGCTACCCCCCCCCCCCCTCCCCCAGCCTTCCCAAGTGCTAAAAGTAAACCATCCCCGTTTCCAGCTCCGTGGGCCGGTTTGTTTCACAGGGCTCCAAGCGAGTCAGCAAAGCTACCGGTACTATAACTACGACTTCTACTACTATACCACTACTACTACTACGACTACGACTACTACCACTTGGAGGAGTGGAGTCCCGACTATAGTGGAGGGTTTTTTTTTTTCGGGTGGGGGATGTCTGGGAGGAAGTAGAGGAAGTGGTCTGTGATGGCGGCCCATATCCATTCCCAAGAGGTGCGTGCGTGCATGCGTACTTCTGACAGCGGCGTCTGGAGTGCCACGTCTCCTGGGGCCCGCAGAAGATAGATCGAGAGGAAGAAGGGCCTGTAGAAAGGAATATCGTAATGGATTCTGGATTGTGGGCAGTGGCAGCGGCAGTGGCAGCGGCAGCGAGTGGCGAGGGATGGTCGATAGGGGGGGATGGGGGGGATGGGGGGGGATGGGGGGATGGATGGTGGGGGAAAGGGTCTGGTGAAAGGGTCTGGTGATTGGCGTTCTGTTTATACCGATACTCCGTACGTCCGTACCGGTAGTACTACTCTACGAGGTACCGGTACTGTACCTACCTACTTCCACAGATGCTTGAATGGGGGTGCGCGGAAGGCTTGAACTCTATCCATACAGACAGGCATCTAGGTCGCAGGTGGATGGAGATTAATTGGCAGTTTGGAATATCGGGGTTTTTTTTTAGAAAGTTCAAGAGAGGAGACAGGAGACAGGAGACAGGAGACAGGAGACTGGGGACTGGGGACAGGATACAGGAGACTGGGGACAGGATACAGGAGACTGGAGACTGGAGACTGGAGACTGGAGACTGGAGACTGGAGACTGGAGACTGGAGACTGGGGAGAGAGACAGAGGAGACAGAGAGACAGAGATCTCGAGTAAATTCGCGTAGCTGATCGAAAAGAAAACAAACACCAACACTGAGGTTGGTGCCGGCATCGGGACCCATCGAGATCACCGGCCGTCGTACGACCGTACAGGAGACGTACGAGTATATCCGTCCCGTAGTATTTCTGGAGGAGAAAAAGTGGACGGGCGTAGCATCTGTCTGCACTTGGTCACTGAAGCAATTCCCGCAATGCCGAGAGCAGATGTTGAAACCCAGGAATTCAGACGGTCGCGCTCAACTCAGCTTCTCGCTTTCGCCATAACAGTGGGTCATCCCGTCCGCTCCGACCAACTGCTATCTACGATGCCCCCCTGGTCCTGGCCTGGACATGGCTGCCACGCGAACGGCCGAGTTCAAGTAGGTTTGTTTCCCCAGGCTGGCATCTCGTTGCTTCTGCTTCTGCTTCTGCCTCCCAGCCGTCGACTGTCCATTCATTCCTTCTGGACCTCGTCGCTACATCTTTTCTTTATCGTCGTCATCGTCATCCTCCTCCTCCTCCTCCTCCTCCTCCTCCTCCTCCTCCTCCTCCTCCTCCTCGTCGCGTACCTAGTTGTAATTCCATCGCCAGCAGCGGTCCGGAGGAGATGCGAGTCCTATATCTGCTGTCCCTCCTGGTGGCGTGTCTGGGGAGTGAAGGGTTGGTCAAAGGACTTCTGTTCGATAGGGATGGTGTAGTTGCGGCGCCCAATTGCTCTGTCAGTCGTCTTGTTCTTCCCTCGTTCCTCTCTCCCGCAGCCGACGCGTCAAGCAGAGAGCTCCCGCTAAACGTGTCTCGTCCCCAGGTGCCTTGCCTCACGACTCTGATACCCAAATACTGCAACTCGGCGGCGAACACCACCTGCGTCTGCGCGAATACCGAGCTGCGCGCATCCGTGCTGTCGTGCTCCTACGCCGCGTGCGATACCTTCCCCGAACTGTTCCAGCTCCAGAAATATGCCGCCGTCTCCTGCGGCATCACGAGCGACAAGTCGCGCCTGATGGATGTGCTGAGGGCCAGCTGTATCGTGCCGGCCCTGACGCTGCTGTTCCTCCTGGGGCGTGTGACGGCGCGGATCCGCCTCGCCGTCGGGCTGGGGGCGGACGACTGGATGATCCTCGCAGCGGCAGCCGCCTATTACATCGATATGGCAATCTCTCTGGGGCTGGTCGGGGAGGGCTTTGGACAGAACCAGTACTGGCTGGAAGGAAGTCAGATTGTCAACGGCTTGAAGCACTTATACGCGGCCACGATCTTCTACATGATTGCCATCACCCTCACCAAGATGGCGCTTCTTCTCTTCTTCCTCCGCATCTTCCCCGACCGGAAGTTGCGCCGGGCCATCTACATGGTTGGGCTGCTCATCGTGCTGTCGAACTTCTCCATTCTGGTCGCCCTGATCTTCCAATGCGTAAGCGGCAAGCCTTTTCCCTTCCTCACAGCATCAGAGAGAATTGACAGCACACAGATTCCCATCAGCGGCTTCTGGACCAACTGGAGGTATAAAGAGAGGCCGGTCAAGTGCATTTCCCAATACCCCTGCCTCGAAGCCGGTAAGCAAGCCTAAGGGGAAACCCATCCATATGCTGTCCTCCTCCCTCCCGTCTCGGGACTTGATTCCGAGACATGGTCAAGCTCCTTTGCTCAATTCGGCTATCGCTACGTCGCACAAGTACTGACCTCCTCGTGTTCTAGCGGCCGTCTTCGCCATCATCCATAGCTTCCTGATCATCGCGTTGCCCATCCCCACAGTCTGGAAGCTCAACCTCGTGTGGCAAAAGAAGGCCAATCTAATGATAATGTTCTGCGTCGGCTCCCTAGCCTTGGTATGCAGTTTCATGCGTCTGCCTTCACTAATCAAAATGTCCACATCAAAAGACTTGTCTTGTCAGTAGCCCCCTCCTCCTCCCCCCAACGATTTTGCTTTTGCTTTTGCTTTTGCTTTTGCTTTTGCTGACGGGTGTTGAAAACCGTGTAGGGGACTCGGCACCCCTCGTCGTGTACTCACATCTCGAGCAGAGCATCGGCATCATCTGCGCCTGCCTGCCCGCCTGCCGGTCGCTGCTCGAGTACTACTTCCCCTCGCTCAAGATGCACTTTGGCGAGTCGGAAGGCACGCGCGTCCGCACCCACTGCATGGAGGCCCACACGTACCACCACCAGACCCCGCCGAAGGGCTACCACGAGAAGTCGGACCGCTCCTCATCCTCGCGCTGCAGCTTCGTGGAGATGAAGGACCGGTGCGGCGCCTCGTCCCAGTCCTCCAGCAGCTGCCCGTCGGCGGGGAAGGTGATGGTCAGCGTCGAGGCGGGGGGTGCGGCGCCCAACGAGGACATCCGAAAGGTCCTGGCGCGAGGGAGCGACGGCATCTACATGACGCGGAGCGTGGAGATGAGCAGTGCCGTGGCGGTGCACGTGGGCGATATGCAGAAGTAAAAACAGAAATAGAATATAAAAAAATCAAAAATCAAAATATAAAGAAATGGTTTTAGAAGAAGATTGGCAACCCGCCGCGGGAAAAAGGTGACAATCACACACGGCGCCGGTTTGTGAAGTGAGTTAATAAGACGAGGTCCAGGTGATCCGCATAGTGATGTATACCTTCCCTCGATCTGTTTTGATCTGTAAATTCTCGCTATGCTATGCTCGCTATGCTCGCTATGCTATGCTCTGCTGCCATCCTATGCCATGCCACGCTCCAATTCTCCAATTCTCGATGCTGTCTGCACCTATACATCTACATACCTTATATATATACCTACCTATAGGTATATATATATAACCCGATCGTCGCGTAATCGACCACCACCACACACCACCACCACCCACCCACACACACCAGCGAAACAAGCAAACAAGCAAACAAGCAAACAAGCAAACAAGCAAGCAAGCAAGCAAGCAAGCAAAGGGGGAGAGGGGGAGAGAGGGGGAGGAGGGGGCCGCAAGCAAAAAAAAAAAAAGAAAGAAAACACAGCATCATGTCCCACGTCCCTTGCAAGTACCTCTCTTTAGGAAGGCATTGATCTTCTACCTGTACCTGTATCGTGCTTGCACGACCGTTGCGGCGGGCATACGAAGCTTTGGGTGTGGATGTGGATGTGGATGTGGGTGTGGATGTGGATGTCTTTTGCGGTAAAGAGGGTAGGGGTGGAGGGGAGAGGGTTGAGAGTAGGGAGTAGAGATGGATACAGAGACGGAGGGGTTGCTCTTACAGGTGGGTTCGGGCTTTGCTCTGCTTTGCTTTGCTTTGCTTTGCTCTGCTTTGCTTTGTTTGTTTTCGAAGACTGCGGCGCTGATTGGGGTTTGTAGGGAGGGGGAGTGGGCGTGGTGTGGGGTTGGGTTGGGTGGTTGGAGGGGGAGGAGAGGGATGGGAGAGATGGGATGGGAGAGGTGAGATGGGATGGGATGGAGAAGGAGGGTGGGTGTTGATTGCGCTTTTTAAGGGAGCGTTTGGTGGATATACTGGCTGGAGATGGGGACATGCGGCTGTGGGGTTTTGTGGCTTGACGATGGATACGAAAAACGATCTTTGTACTTGTACGGATCGAGGCCGCACGCATTCGACAGAGCAGGCGAGAAGAAAAACTCGGCGTATCGTATTATGGAAATGCGTTTGAAAAAAAAAAAAAAAAAAAGGAAGATTCATAGGGAGTTTGTTTGCGATCCCGCGTTGATCAGGAGGACGAGGCTATCTCACACAGAGAAAAGCCTCTCCTTGACGTGACGTGCTCTCTGCTCTCGATTCGATAGGTACAGTAGATAGCACTCTATTCTACCGTTTCTCAGGTTATAAATATCTGATCACAGCAAAGCAAAGGGAAACTCAATATCGAGAGCGGCTCTCTATATTTGGGAGGGACGCTTTGGGCTGAGCTTGAGCTTGAGCGTGCCTAAGGGTTTTTTTTTTTTTTTTTTTTTTTTTNTTTTTTTT